AGAGAGAGAGAGAGAGAAGGTTTAGATTTTCACATTTCACACATGTTTTAAGGTGACAACATCACCTGGCTGATTGTTCATTGAATTTAAGGGTTGCGATGGAATTAGATGCTCTTAGATTGACTTCGGTGACAAGCATTCAAGTATCCATGCTTTCGCTGATTAATTAGCCCATGTAACTTCAGATATACTCTATAATTTCTTGTGGTCTATCTTAATCTTGAAGCAAACAATTCGAGGTAGTATGGGTTTACTTGCTTTTTCTTGGGAAAGAGTAACATAACAACAGTTCATATTTTCTTGTGTTTGTTGATTTAACTGCTCTTCGTTTTTTCTTGTGCTCTTCAGCTTCTTCTTTAATCGGAGCATCAAAACTTTGGATCGGGAGGAATGATTCTTCAGCTTCTGCTCTCTATCCTCTGTTTCATCAGTGGAACTTTATCAGAGGAATCCCCATATGTAACAATCATAGTCAAAGGATCTGATATAGTTGCTGAGACTGATGATAGTTTTGTTTGTGCCACTCTTGATTGGTGGCCTCCTCAGAAGTGTAACTATAACCAATGTCCATGGGGACAGTCGTCAGTTCTGAATCTGGTAAATTTCTTTTCGGTATCGTCTAGTTAGTCCAGAATATCTCGTCGTCTTTGCACTCTGCAGGAAATAGTAACAACAATTTGTGGTTCCATGGTTTATGCAGGACTTAACTCATCCATTCCTATCTAATGCCATTCAAGGTAACGACTTCTTTGTTTCAGCATTTAGCTTCAACATGTCAGAAATGCTAATTCTCATAGTTGAATCATCACCTTTATGCTAGGAATTTCTCATTCTTTTTTATGTGATGTTCCCTAAGAACTACCACTAGATCTGTTTGAGAAAGTATGAAACTGTGCCATGTGAGCATGCATGTCATTTTATGTTTTTGTTTGTAAAATTTCAGCTTTTGAACATTTGCGGATAAGAATTGGAGGCTCTTTGCAAGACCAAGTAGTGTATGGTGTGCCGACATTGGGACATCCCTGTCTTCCTTTTTCCAAGATGAGCGGTGGTTTGTTTGGTTTCTCCGAAGGATGTTTGAGCATGTCAAGATGGGACAAGCTAAACCTTCTGTTTCAGAGGACGGGGTAGGTTTGCATCAAAGTTTCTTTATTTCTTCTAGCTGTCATTTTCGTCATGCTAAATTGAGATGGATCAGAGTTGACATTGATCAAAACCTCAATCTGAAATTATCTGGACATCGATCAAAAGCCTGATCACAAATTTATCTGTTTCAACTACATCATTTTTAGCTGTTTAAACAATCACCGTTGAAATGTATGAATTTTCTTTTCATACATGAGTTGATCAGGAAGATATCAGCTCCAAGATCTAGTTTAATTATCCGCATTTCATGCTTCGTGTATTCAAATTAGATGCTTTTATGACGTGTTGGGTTAAATAAGTTTATTGCTACTGTGATGAGCATAAATTTGGAATGGTAGTCAATTACATAAAGATATTAGCTTATTCCTGGATCGATTAATTGCCAGATGCATAAAGCATGAAGCAGACTCGACAAAGTACTCTACCCAAAAAGGCTAACCACATAAGCATTTTTTCTCTGTATTAATTGCTTTATTCCATGACTGCATTTTGATAAACTTTCTAAGCAATTCCTGATGTTAGGAAATAACATTTGAGTTATAATATGTACTTTCGTAATTATAACATTCTGTATCGTGTATCATATCACTTAAATGTCTGTATTTTTCTTGTTTATCAAAAATATAAAATGATCATAGTTATGTGATTTTGTGTTTGCAGGGCGATAATCACATTTGGTCTGAATGCACTAAATGGGAGGCACCCTGTACACAATGGTATGTGGGTCGGTAACTGGAACTCCACAAATGCTCGTGATTTCATTAAGTACACAATTTCAAGAGGATATCCAGTTGATTCATGGGAATTCGGTATGTCTTTTCTACACACTCTTTTCTGCAAGAAAATCCATTCTACCAAAACCTAAATGTGTCATGTTTGATGCATCAGGAAATGAATTGAGCGGAAGCGGTGTTAGTGCAAGGGTTAGCGCTGAACAATATGCGAAAGATCTGATTGGCCTTAAAACTCTTCTTAAGGAGTTATATAAAAATTCACGCATGCGACCGTTGCTAGTTGCCCCTGGAGGATTCTTTGATCAAAAATGGTATACTCAGCTATTACAAGCTTCAGGTCGGGATGTCGTCAATGCTTTGACACATCATATATATAATCTTGGCCCAGGTGAGTGTAGAAATTTGTGTAGAATGTAGAAGACGCTGTCCATTGGAGAATTCTCTTTGATGACTTAAGACACATAAGAGAGAAGAAAATGGGAAAGATCTGATTTATCTGTGTCTTTGTTTCCCTTACCACATTACCTTTGGCATGTATTTATTAGGTGAAATTACAAACATCAAATCTAGGAATTGCTATTCCCAATTATTAAACCAGAAATAAGACATTTAGCTTCTTACTGGACTTCTGTTTGATATCTAAGCTTTGTATTGATCATGCTCTTCTCTTCTTCTACCGTTTTGAATAGGAATTCCTGCTAAAAATGAAATCTTCATGCTTATGAACTCATCACCTGACAATATGCAATGTTGAGTCCTTATAAAAGAAAGTCCTGTAGTCAAGGGATTATTATACTTATTCCCGCAACATCATCCTCTGATCAATTGGAAAACCATCCACTTGCCAACTAAAAGTTTTAATGTTTCCTTTTGATTGGATCATCGTGGTATCAGATGGAGCAAATAAGGCCATCTGTAAGACCAAATTTTCATGTATAGCAGTATAGAAGAAGTAGAATTGCACAACTATTGTTTACGTGTTGCTCCTCCAGGAGAATCATGTATACAGGAAAGGCATTTGGAATTCTAAAGAAGACAAGACTACTAGAAACTTGAATGATCTCATTGTTATGCCAAAAATTCTTTGCGTCAATAATTCAGAATCCCTTGGTGGTAATATTGGGCAGTTTATGACCAAAGGAATTTCTGTATAGACAGGGAGACATTATAAATGATTAAACATCAACTTGACTGCTGCAGGTGATGATTACCGTATCGAGAGTAAGATACTGGATCCCCAATATTTAAGTCGGATAACAGATACATTCAGAAATCTCCAACTTACAATAGAAAGACATGGACCATGGTCATCCGCTTGGGTTGGAGAAGCTGGTGGTGCTTACAACAGTGGAAGTCGTCGTGTGTCAAATAAATTTCTCGACAGCTTCTGGTAATTTACTTTTTTTTTCTTCTTGCATCCCCAGTTTCATGTGAAATTGCAGACAAAAAACTTATTTGACATAGTATAGGTACTTGGATCAACTGGGCATGGCATCAAAGTACAACACTAAGGTCTATTGCAGACAGACCTTGATTGGAGGGAATTATGGTCTCCTCGACACACACACTCTCACACCAAATCCTGATTACTACAGGCAAGCATCCAAGTCACCAATTATCTTATAGTCATATGCTTGGAAACATGAGCAAATTTTAAGTCACCTAGTTGATCCTCTTTGAGTCTTCTTACCAGTGCACTATTGTGGCATCGGCTAATGGGGAAAAGAGTTCTCTCCATCGACATCAGTGGCTCATCATACTTGCGAGCATACGGTCATTGCAGGAAGGGAAAGGTACAGAATTCTATGGACACCATTCTTGATTGATTTCTATATTGTCTTGATTTATGCAGCTGATGTTTTTCAAAAACCTTAAGCTTACATTAAACTTGCTGCAGATATACTCAATAACTGCTTTACTTTCATTACAATACCAATGATGAAAGTAGTTTGGTTTTTGAATAGATAGTCGAACCGACCCTTTAGTCAGATTTCCTTAGTTTAGATAGGGGAATATGTTTCAAGTCGTGTTTGGGTTTGGGTTTGGGTTTGTGGTGCGTAGCAGCTACCCAATTTCAGATATCCGGGGCTACATGATCCAGTTAATTGAAGTTTGAATGCCCTTTAATCAGGTTTGGGATGAGTTCTGATGAGAAGACATAGTCAGGTTTCGGTGAAATTTGTGGGAACCGAACCGGTTGCCTTCTGATACGATACAACTTCAGGATAAAAAGATTGCTCTTTCAAGAATTGCAGCATTTGGAAACTTCTATCCTGTGTTCTACCACTGATTTTGCATTAGTAGATAACTGTCTTTCAAGATTGTATTTTATTTTATTTATTCATTTTGATATCCATAAGAAGAACCTTCTGATTGTGACGATAATCTTTACTATTTAACCTTGTAATGCACTCCTGGAGTCAGTCGATACCGATCTAAAGACTCGGTTGTTTCTAATGTGCTTCACAATACATACAGGCAGGCGTCACTCTACTCTTGATCAACCTAAGCAAATCCACCAAGTTCAGTGTGACCGTCCGAGACAATCTCAATGCCATTCCTGCCGAGGGAGGAGACATTCAAACCGACAATTCTTTCGTCCACAGCTTTAAGAGAGTACTCTCCTGGATGGGCAGAAAAGCATCATCTGAATCTGAAAGCAGAGAGGAGTATCATCTGACCGGGAAGGGCCGCGACCATCTAAGCCAAACAGTGCTGTTGAATGGAATACCGTTGGAGCTTACTGAGGATGGCAAGATTCCACCTCTGAATCCTGTGTATGTTCCAGCAAGCTCCCCTTTGCATGTTGCTCCCTTGTCTATAGCATTTGTAGTACTCCCCAACTTTGAAGCTCAAGCTTGCAGCTGAAGAGGATGCACAAGGTAATGGTGCATCCTGCTGTTGTAAATGATGGATGATTTATTGCACCAAATTTATACTGTATAACAGCTTGGCCATGGGATCAAATAAGTTGTGTAAGTTCTTCAGGAGAGCTAAATAAGATGTGTGATTGATGTTTTAGCATGAGACTCTATTCCATATTTCATATTGGCTTGGAGAAGGTTGTCCTACTTTAATTCCATGTTTTCTTTGATGGAAGTTTGATGCAGAACACCAAGTGTAGTTGTCATTTTACATGAATGGTGTGCCTTTTCAATTGATTTAGATAGGTGACTTGTCTTTAGCACATGACAGTAGCTTGTTGAGTCCCTAAGAATATTGATCTGTCAGCTTCTAATTAAAGTAGGAATCCCTTAGGAAGCACCAAGTCATCTGCTTTGACAAAAGAATTTGTAGAAAAAAGATCCAAGCAGGAATTAATATTTGGTGCAACATATCAACATAATATTGGCAACAGGGATCAAATTGCATTGGAGAAGAAACACTGAAACAGAACAATTGATCACATAGTGAGAGACAATTGACAACATGGTGAGAGGGCAACATAACAAAAGCACTGTAAGCAAAGAATTAACTGCACATTTCAATATCTTATGAATCAAGACAAATATCCTAGAGTTCCCCAATATTCAAAAGGGGCTTCCGTTACGGTTAATATCCATGACCTCCGAATTTAGAGGACGAATAAAGAACAGAAAAATGTTAAAAGTGAAATTAATCAATAAACTCGAAAGTAAAAGAAGAAAAGATAATCGGCATGCCTCTCGAGACAATCCAATCCTGGCTTCAGTATGGACCGGTCAGTGTGATCTGATGCTCCATTAGCAGCAATATGAAGAACATCATTTGTTCCAGAACAGGGTAATAAACCCTCCAGAACACTTGGAAGAACAACCTTCAATAGGCAAATGCTGATTGCTATCTAACAAAATGAATAGAATCATGCATGGCACCAGAAGTGCAGCCATCTAACTGGGTAGGTCTACGAGGAGGCCAACCATTTAGCTGCTCGGCTATAATAACTGAATTCTTAATGTACTCGGTAACTTCACTCGCATCTTGAGTGAAAACTGAGCCATCACTGTATCTATAATACTACTTTCCTGCTAAATGTTTACGCTGTCCAGTTTTCTGGTAATCATTGTGGCTCCAAGATATGACAATTGCTTACGAAGTTGTTGGAATAGTTTACATGCTTTGTCCAAAATGGCTGGAGGTGCTTATATCCAATCTCCAGCCATGGTTTGCATTGGCCGTTGTAGTGGATAACAGCAGCCTTCCTAACAGTGTCAAGGTCCGTCAATTCCTGATAGCCCAAACCTAGCATGTGCCATGATGGGTCTATAGGATACACATAACCTCTGAATGCTATGAGGGCTGGTGGCAACGTGCCAAGCTTCCACAGCTTCAGGTTTGACTTCAAATTCTGCAATCAAAATGAAAATGAAAAGAAAGGATAATAATTAGCAGAGGTGTACAGTTACAACATCAACTTATGATGTTGAGGTAATCAGCTTACACATTTGATCATTTATATTTCTTTCTCACATCTGCAGGTTAGAAGAAAAAATAGGCTTGAAATTTGTGTAGCCAATACAAGTTCCGAATAATTAACAAACTGAATATTTATCAGAAGATAATTATTCTGGTCGCATTTGGCTTAAACATGGACCTTAATTTCATAGGAAATTCAGAAGAACAAAAGATGTTTGGGTAAAGTATAGGAGAAAATTCGTTCATATGATTTAACTGGCTATTTAGAAAGATTAAACTGTTACCACCAAATTGTAGCTCAATGAACTTAGCTCATCAGCAACTTGGAGTTCGTCGAAAATAAAAAGAACATAAAGATCATTATGGTTCTTTGCAGAAAGAGAAGTTACAACAGAATAAACTGAACAATGATATGACAAATGGTTGAAACTTTACCTCCTTCACCCAGTAGTGATATGTTTCCCTAATGTTTGTCTTCCTCCAGGCATTTAAGTCAAACATATTCATCCCAAATGCCCATGCACACTCGTCAGGGTCCAATTTATTGGCTATGAGGGGATGTGAGAAATTAAAATATGTCCTGAAGCGCTTAGCCATCACCCAGGTATCTTCACCTTTGCATGTTTCTACAGCACCATTTACTTTTCCAGAAAAATCAATCTCCCACAAAAGTGACAAGTCACGTTGAACAACAACATCATCATCGAGAAATAGAACCTTGTTGAGGCTTGGAAAGAGCTGTTTAAAATGTTAGGAAGAGTATGTTATCATCATTTTTAGAAAAATTACTTGGTTTGTCAACAAATAGACCTGTTATATACACCAAAACAGATTGTAACATGTAATAGAAAGCCATAATTTTATTATGGCTTCTTCATGTGGGCATCTATGAAGAGCAAACACAGATATATACATTACAGACATGCTGACATAGTAATGTTGGATAAGTAGCATATGATATTGGTATGGAAATGGCAAATAGTAATCACATGTTTTCTATTGATCGCTGATAATTAAATCACTATAGATGTTTTGTCTTGGATCATTTATGATGATTAAATCAGTAATTTATAATAAGCATAACAATCATTCACAAAAATACTACAAACATATATGAAAATTTCATGGAAATATTCGCATCAAAGTTTTATAACCAAATTCTCATTGCATCTTACCTCTATTGGATGTTTAGAACCTTTATGTTGATGTTGATGGTTGACTAACTATCCTACGCTGATAACCATACTGGTCTGTAATATGCAAGTGTAGATAGTAGATATGCCCTTGAAATATGTCATAGACATGGAAAGATTAAAGCATCACTACTTCATTTATTGACTTAAAAGAAACGTTTATGTTTAAAATGTATCTATATTATAATTTTGTTGAGGGAATAATTATGTTTTTGAACCACTAATTAGAAAGGTGGATGTGTAAATTAAAGTTGACAACACATTCTGTTGATTTACCTTCACATATCTGCCTTCTTATAATTCTTACTTTAAAATTCATAGCAATCTTCTTTCTCAACATGCTAGATTATATTCTTCTAGCCACATATTGGATCTTCCACTTCTTTCTAATCTAAGCATCTTATCAACTAAAACCCAAAACCAGTTCATTTTAAGTTCCTCAATTTTCTCTCCAATCACTTAAATAGAATTTAGCATGCTGTAGGCTGAAGATATAATAACCATCCAAACAAGCATACTTATGTTATATTGGTTCTTTGGAATCATTGCCTCTAGTACTACATTAGCAAAAAGTGTCATCAAGCAAAAGGATCTCAAAAGTACACCGACTAATTTACCTCGGGCAGGTATATGCGCAGATGGTTGAGCAGAGAAATGTATTTTGGACTCCTTGCTTGCAGTTTAGAAGCGAAAGCCCTTGGATTGTCACCAACATTGGTGCCCAAGATATAATCTCCATGATAGTGATTTCTAACACCATGGTGACTTTCAATAGCTTCGAGAACAGGCACATTTTCTCTTGTTAACCAGTCAAATTGGTGAACACCTTTCACCTCAATCACAGCAGGGGAAAGAGAATTTAAGGCAAACCATGAATGCATACCCGGATAAGTCTTTTTATCAGTTATGACATGGAAGACAACCCTCTCAGGCTGTAACGAAGATCGTACAACTGAGGTGACCACAACAGAGGCTGCAAGAATGTTATCAGTGGCAACAACAAAATGGTGATAAGAGTTATCGGAGAGTAAAGGTAGCAACTCTGGTGGTGGCAACTGTTTACGAGCTTGTGCATTGGATGAATATTCATCAGTCAAGCGCAATGAGAGACAATGTATGCCTTTAGGAACAGCAGTTGCTGCAAAATGTTTGTGCAGTTGTTCTGCTAGCCTTGATCTTTTCACCTCCCTATCCATATGTTCCATCTGCATATAACAAACAAGTCATAGAAAGAACATCCCCAAGTATATTAACTTAATGAGCTGCATGTAAATGGTTTAGTGTCCGCAAGTATGGATTCTAAGAATGACTGGCAGTGCCACCTCTTTTATAAAAAATTCCAACAAAGAATATTTAATCAGATTAAGATTGTTACCAGATTTCTCGTATCTAATTTTTTTTCTTTTCTTAACAGAAGAAAGTTACATTTTTCTTGAACTTAAAGTATAGCCAAATTTAACTGAACAATAACTCTCAAGAATCTCATTTCTTCACTAGTGATGCTATGAATCTGGTGAAGAATATTCACATGAATGGTTAAGACATGCCACGTGAATAGTTGAGATGGCTACACAAAAGACTTGAAGGTTTGAAGAATAGTGTCGTTGTAGCACATTCCAATTGAAGTGAAACATGAAGAGATCCCTAAGAGCTAACACTGGTGGCAACACTTACAGAAAAAAAAAACAAAAAGACACCAAAATTAATAAGGAATTTTCGAAGGACAGTTCCAAGAATCCTGCAGAGAATGACAAGCTTCTATATTGTTCTCTAGATAACATCCATGTATGAAGAATACAGTATCACGATGATTTTTTAAATGAACAATACTTCAATGTTTAGTCAATGAATCATAAAACATTTTATTGAACATCTTTAATCTTGTTCTGAGGAGAAATGTACCAAATAAGGACATAAAAGATTAACAAATGGGCATACCATTGCCTTCAATCTTACAGCAAAAGTGTCCGCATCATACTGATTGTTCTTCATGTCTGAAAGAAACTCACTGAAAGATTCTGGCAACTTCAGGCCGACTGGAATTTCCTCAGAGTTTACTTGATCAAGTATCTTGTATAAGTCTTTAACAAGCTTCTGTAATTGTGTTGAAGCGGTTCAGATTAAGATTATGTCTTCAACAGGGAGAAAGAGAAAACTATCCATCCATCATGACTAGAAAAGAAAACAATAGAAAACATTACCATGGAATCATCACCACCCCTTCCAAGAAACCCTGGTCCTAGCCGCCTCCCAAGACAATCTGAAACAAATAAGAAAATAACAAGGAAACAAATGTTATCAGCCGATGCAGTAGATATTGCATTCAAGTTATGTCATAACGCTCAACAAAATTAGATGTAGAAGCCAGAAAGTAAACCTAGTCAAATATTTTGCATAATCTTCATAAATATTTGTATTCATTCTCTACAAAAACATGCT